AATCTATCTTTTGTTTAAGCGCAATAAAGAATATATATATATATATATATATATATATATTATCATTATCATCATATAATTATTAACTGTTTACTGCTAAATATAGGCTTCCCCGTATGCCGTGTAGCCCTGATATAGAATTGGCTAACCCCTCCTTTCCGGTGGGTGTCATAAGAGATGACTAAGGGAACTTAATAGTTGAGATATGGGCAGCAGCGTCTCTATTAAAATATCAATAAAGCCTAACCCTAAGCCCAATTTGCCTACCAATCATGGCAGCTAGTGACTAAACCCTACAATGGGGAGGCTTATATTCAGGAGTGGACAGCCAACGTCTAATATAAAAATAATAATAAAGTTTGCATTTAGTAAATTTATATAATATACTATAAGCCTTTATACAGACATAACATTTTTTTAACAATTTATTATTTATTTAATTGCTATCATCTTTTTGCTTATTAGCAAAGATCTCCTCCAACTGCGACCTATTTCTAGCGGTTCTTGTCCAAATTCCACTTGCTTCAGCCCTATTGTCATATACCCATCTTCTATATAGTCTTCTTCCTCTCCTTTTCTTGTTTTTTTTTGTACCAAAATATTATTATTTTACTCCATTTATTATTTATTATTATAATGCATTCATGTACATAATATAGAGTTGTTACGATGTTCTTATGAAGAATAAGTACATGAAACCCTGTTTGGGTGTAGCAAAATTATATTGATAGGCAGCTAATATACATGCATTGATGTCAATTTAGATTAAACAAAATAAACAACAATTCAAAATATCATAAATATAATTTGAAGTCAGTCTAGTTATTTAGGTATATAATAGTTATGTTAATCTGATTAATTATTTGCAAGTCATGTGTGATTTGAATCGTGGCATGGCGCATTTTTGCATTTCAACTAGCTAAATAGTCGTCAACTGAATTAAAAACAATTTGCTATTAAATATTTTTTAATTTAGTATGAAACAATTATCTTTCCCTATAATTGTATTGTTGTAATATCCAATTACAACGCATTTATTTGTGTTTGGAAAAGTATTTAATCGGTATTAGATTCGAGGAATTGGGGTTTGATTCACCAAAGAGAATTTTTAAATCGGTCCAACAGTTTTCACATTATGTAGAGAGATTCGTATTTATGTTGAATTATTGTTGTGTATTCGGTAAAATTTTTAGGTTTAGTATTATTATGAATAAAAATTACATAACTGGGCATAACTGAACATAGAGCTATAATTACTAGATATTAATTATACACAAACACCCAAATTTACCTGAAGAATACTCTGTACAAAAGTTCTCTGCTTGCGTACCTCCGTCTCATTCGTGTTTTTTGCCGTGAAGCAGTTGTATTTGCATGACTGTGTTTCGGTTTGAAAGGATATTGTAATAAAACTACAAAGTTTAGAGGAATAATACCTTTGTCCGCAGGAATGACAACGCATTAAGGGTATCATTGGTGACACAGTATACTCTTTTATGTCCTTGGTAGTATTCATGTCTATAGGCGACGGTTATCATTTTCGATCTGGTGGGTCGTCAGCTTGTTTGCTATTTTAAGTTGCATAGAAAAAATTTTGTTCTTTTAAAATTTTGCGTTGCATAGTTTACTTGTAACCATGACCTATGTACCCTAGCTGAAACGACGATGTAATTGAGATAAATGATATATCATCATCATCGTCGTCATGTCAGTCATACTTTGTCAACTGTTGAACATAGGTCTCCTCAATAGATTAGAAGAAATGGAACTACATAAGGAACGGCCCTGATCTAAATTACATATAGTTTAACTAAATGATCGCGGTAATTCTCGCCTCTTATAAAATATAACTTAGTTATTAGTACTATTATAATAAACTATTTTAGTTTCTGAAAGTATTTGACAATACGATTTCCGTTTCCTCCAGGACAGACTCAGCCCAGTGTAGAAATCAATGTTAAACTTTGGCTTATAAATACTTTGATTACTTTTTTCTACTTTTAAAAATATGTATATTTATTATTCATACTGTGATATTAATATCCATAATAATACAAACGAACATAAAAATATTTGTATGGTACGAGGATCGAATTTGCGAACATTGAAAGGTTGTGTATGAAACTACTATACGACCAAGGTTTTTTTAACTATTCAATAATAAATACAACTCTTAAATAATACTTCTTCTTTTCTCGTGGGTGTCGTAAGAGATGACTAAGAGAACTTAATGGTCGAGGGACGGGCAGCAGTGTCCCTCTTAAAACATCACCAAAGTCTAACTGCGGTTACTAGTCCGCTTACCAACGTGACAACTATTGGCAAAGCCTCCTTTATGGGGGAGACCTTTGTTCAGGAGTGGGAAGTTCACGGCAAATATAATAAATAATATTATTAACCCTTTGAAAGCACCATAATACAAAGACGAACTTGAGGTAAATGAAAATAAAATTTATTTATTTATTTATTTATTTGAAAATTTCTCACTACACTTACAGTTTCCCAAAACGTGTAGTGAGCCAAAGTTTTATTTCACAAACTTACAAATTTTGTACAACATTTTAAAAATATACTTCTTTTGTAATTAAATATGTCAATATCTGGCTGCTGAGCAATCAGAGAATTGAGCAGAGAAATAGCCTGATACGTGGGAGCAAACTGAGCAGTACAGGTACGAACCGGCGGTGCCGATAGTAGTCTACAAGCACGCAATCGCATGCAGCGTTGGGGTGCGTACAAAGAACAACGGCTAAGAGTTACAGGATTGTCTATTCCGCCGTTGAGCAACTGATAATAGTGCATCATCAAATTGCACTTTCGCCTTACCTCGAGCGTGTCTAGACCTACCATACCGGATACGAACAGTAATGGGTACAAATAAGGATAGTAGCCGTAAAGTTTACTATATAGAACACGTGCAAATTTCCTCTGAACTCTTTCTATCATTATCTTGTATTTTGTTTCATGAGGGTTCCAAATAATTGAATTGAATTCTAAAATGCTTCGTACAAATGAATAATATAATAATAATATTGCACCTTTATCTTGAAGTTGTGCCGACTGTCTTATCACAAAACCTAACGATTTATATGCACGACTACAAACGATGGTTATATGATTATTAAAAGTTAAAGCAGTGTCCAGCGTAAGGCCTAAATCGCGTATTTGTGACACACGTTCAAGCGGCGTACCAGATATATTGTAGACATAAGAATGGGGAACACGAGACCGCGTGAATGTGACCGATTTACACTTTGAAATATTAAATTCCAAGTTATTATGTCCAGCCCATGCCACAACGTTGTCAATATCTCGCTGTAGAGTTACACAGTCTTCCATGGTTCCGATAGCCATGAATAGCTTCACATCGTCAGCAAACATGAGACACTGAGCAGTGTTAACAACATCTGGCAAGTCATTGATCATAATTAGGAACTGCAATGGACCCAGGGTACTACCCTGGCTTACTCCGGAGTCGGTAACATAGGATTCAGATCGATAACCATGTAATTGGACGTATTGCGAGCGATCGGAAAAATAACTAATAAATAATTTTAAAAGTTTAGGTGTAAATCCTATCTCTGAGAACTTTTTTAATAAAATATCATTGTGAACGCGATCAAATGCTTTTTTGAAGTCAAAATATGTCACGTCTACTTGTCTATTATGATCCATTTCAGTAACTGTATAATCAACAAAGTTTATCAGATTAGTAGTAGTCGACCTACCAGGTCTGAATCCATGCTGACAGTCTGTCAATTGAGGCTGGACTTGCACCGAAATAAGTCTGTTTAAAATGGATTCAAATAATTTTCCTAAAGCTGGAAGTACAGCAATTGGCCTATGATTTGAAATTTGGGATTTAGAACCATCCTTGGGTATAGGTATAACCCTGGACACTTTCCATAGCTGCGGATAGGTACTTGTTGTGATAGCCAAGTTCATTATATGTAGGAGCGCTTCCTCTAAAACTCTTATGCAATCTTTAATAATAAATGACGGTATACCGTCAGGCCCAATGCATGTCCCCACCCTCAATCGTTTTACTGCTCGCTGCAGGTCGGTTAGCGTTATATTCTCTATAGCGACGCGAGCAGAGAGTTGGGAACACCTTGCCTTGCTTTCAGCCAGAATTGCTATAAATGTCACCATGGGTTTTATAATCAGCTACTTATATGTAAAAGGAGACTATATCACTATGGTACTCTATACCCTTACTTATCATAGGGATATAGCACCATAATAAGAGCATTATTTGAACGTAGATTTCTGTGGATTGATGGCGGTATCATGGGTAGGGTTGTTGGCTTCTCTAAAATATGATTAAATGCAGCGATGACTGACACATCCGTCATACTCGCGGACGGGTCCTGTTTGTAGTAAGTAGTCTCTTCTAGTTCACTACAACTGATTTATTTTGCTACTTAATATTACTATAATTTATATACTTCTTACGTCTTATGCCTACTTTTTATGCCTCGTATTAAATATGTTTTATTGTAAAAAATATTAAATACTTGATATTTTCTTTATTTTCTAACACGTATTTATATAAACTAATGAACTTTTTATTAAAAAAAAAGTATTTTTATAAGTAGATATAGAAAACAAATTTATTTTAATAAACTCTGTTTTTAATTGTTCAAAGTTCTTCCTTGCATATGTAATTCCAGGATATTAGAATAATACTAGAAGCCAAATTTTCCAATTGTCATAATACAGTTAGATATATATCTAGAATTAACTAAAATATTCTTTTAAAAAAGATCTGAAATATATTCATATTTTGTCCATGCCAATATATTCAGCAGTAGCCTCTCCCATAAACATTGCTTAAAGCATAAATTAAATAAAGGAAATAAGAACAAGCAAGGTTATATATTTAATAGAATATTACCTTATTATTTTAAAGTAAAAAAGTTATTACATTCAATTACTTGCTTACGAACATTTACAGGGAACAACTATGGGAAATTAAAATAAAAACCAATGAATATCAACGACATTTTTATTATAAAACAATAATAATTTTATATTATAATATTATGGCACATGCGTACTATTTAGAATAACTATCTACATAGTTGAATTACGTTTGGTACCTAATGAAAGGAGAGACAATGAGAGTTTACTATTACATATATCTAATATCGTACGCCTTTACGCTTTTACTTGATTCGAATTAAATCAATCAAGAATTGTAAACTCTTCCTTTTAAAGTTAATTTTATTTATTAAAATACAAAAATACAATGTAAATCCTTATATTTAATGGATACATAATAATCACATTATATGAGAACATTGAATATATCTCATACTTAAAGAAAGACATAATGTTTGGAGAAAATACTCTATTTCTGGTCATTATAATCGCCAGGATTCATTATTCAAATTGTAATAAGAAATTATAATTTACTTAATCATATAAAATGTGTCCTATTTACAAGGATATCAAACAATATCATTGCAATAAGAGGGGTAAGGGGTCGTTAGTAATAGAAACTAACAATCCCAATGCTAGCAATATATTTAATCACTTCCACGACGCTATTGTCACTGGAAAGTATAGCGGTTAGTATTCTTGGACTTCATCACGATGGGCTCATTAACCTGTTTTTCATCCTCACCTATAATCTGGCACTGGTGCTCCGCTAGTATCGGCGGGGCTTCCATACCATTTTCACCCATTAAAATAAATATTATAAAAGTACACGCTACAAAAAAAAAAAAGAAAATTCAATCAAGTTATATAAAAGTAACACTTAATATGCTTACCTATATTTTAAAAATACGCGCTATAATACTATGATTCAAAATATATACACGAGGTATATATTATATACAAAGCAAAGCATAAGTACAAAAGTACTTGGTTCATTAAAAATTTACGAATTCATTATACTGTTACATTTATTAAGGATTCAATAAGTGTATCGTAACTCCATCATTGTAACATACTCATATTTATAAAAACTTATCACATAATTGCATAGGTCATTGTCAAATATATAGCTACTTTTGATTTTTTACTAATGATTTTTGTGATGTATTTATTATTCGAAATGACTTCATATGTCGAAGTAATTTCAATAAACAATTAAAACTTATCTTCGTATACAAAATAAATGTATACATAAATAAATGTATACATAAATATTTATTTTTCAAAAAATGAACTGTAAATGAACTACAAAAGAACTGTTTTCCATTAAAAAGAAGTTATAATTTTTTTAATGAATATTAAAAAATACCGTCATTTTGGTCACAAAAATATCCTTAATTTATATATATGAGTAGTACTGAATGAATTTTAAGTATGTTACTATATTATAGTTGTATCATGTGCACAGATATAAAAACGAAATATTGATATTTCTTAATAATGTATATAAATAAATTAACAATTGATTAAGAAAATAATTTAAAATAAAACTTATCTTAATAATTTAATCACATCTACATACTGAAATATGTTTTAATAACTGATTTATTTTAAATTTTTTTCCATTATTGAATAAATCCTAATGTGCTTTTATATATATACTATAAACCTGTTAAGTAATTATGTGTTATTTGATTATATCGAGGCCTTTGTCTTGTTCTTGATCTGAAATTTATAATATAATTATTTTATTATTATTATTATATTTAAAATGTAATTATTTTACATATTTGTGAATAAATAATTGCTTTAAAATATTAAAAAGAAATTGTTATTTAAATACTTAAAATAATATGTTAAAATTAGATAATAATTTATTAAAATACATTCTTTATATTTATTATATAACTTACTTTATATATAACTTAATCATTTACATATATACATAAATGTTAATATGTTATTTATATTTTAAATACAGTCAGAAAAAAAAAGTTTTAACTTACGGATAATGTCTTCTTCGCCTAATAGATCCAGGATGTTGCTCCACACAAAGAATTATAAATTCGTTATCACACGAGTACCTAAAAAAAATCTCTGGTTTAGTATACTGCAACTTTGTATTCGATTACAAAAAAAAAATATTAAACATCGTTTCAGAACTATTTAAGATATCTCGTAATATACATTATTTTATGTTTATTCTTTTTATGTAACTTAGAATGGAAAACAAGCTAACAGCCCACCTGATGGAAAGTGAAAATTTTCGTCTATAGACATGACAGAGTATACTGTTTCGCCCATGATACCCTCCACGCGTTGCCATTCCTAAGGTCTCGGGTGTTATTCCTCTGTATCTTGTAAATTCACAGCCCTACACCATCCTTCAAACCGAAACACAGCCATGCAAACACAACTGCTTCACGGTAGAAACACGAATGGGACAGAGGTGTCCTAGCAAATAACTTTTGTACAAAGTCTCCCTCTGGTAAATTATTAATTTAATCTTATCTTATTAATAAAAGAAAATTATATGTAGATGATGTCTGTACATGGGGGTATTATATAACCGAATTGAGAACTTATGAAAGTCAGTTAAAAACTTAATATGAGGGGTTTTAATATGCCTAATAAATACCAAGACAATAATTTTTAGAAATCCTATCAATCTAACTGTATGTATATGTCTTCCGGTATCACGTAAAAACTACTACACAAAATTAGATACGGTTTTCATAGTTGTATTCTTGAAAGTCTAACTTAAAATCTCGTAAGTGTATGTTTACCATAATAGTAAAATCTAATTTATAGTAAGGGACTTACTTTGTTTGACTTAATAGCCGGCTGTCGTCTACATCGTATAACGCCGATGCCGTGCCGTAATGCTCAGAACTGCCACTATTCCAATTTACGCAATTATTATCATTTGTATAGTTCCCATATAAATTGCTGCCATGCCAAACTACCTTGTGTGGCCTGTAATAATTGATGTGATTATATGAATATAATAATAATAACAAAATAAAATAAATAACAAATAATAAAATCAAATAAAATTTCTACTTGGTCGCTGTCTGTACATGAAAGATATATAAGAAATAATTATTATAAGGGGGCTTTATGACCGCAATAGAACCCAAAACAATGAGTTTTAGAGTTTTTGTCTGTTTGTCTGTACATATAAAATGCTATAAAATAACGAAATTATATTTTAACTTACATATACCGAGTTACGCGGGCTGCACCGCGGGAAACGGCTAGTTTTATTATATAAATTGTATTTAATGAATTATTATTTATAAAGGAAAATATTTAAAATAATTAATAAATTAAAATGAATTATTCAATCATTTGGATTATTAAACGCTAATAAATGCCCATCCCCTAGATTAAATTATCTCCACGAAATATTTGGAAGTTAATATAAAAATCCTTACCAAACTAAGTTATCTGTTAAAATATTATTCCCTTTAAAACTATAAATATTCGCGTTCCATTTTTGAAACGGGGCTCCGGATCCGTTGAACATGCTATGCCATGATTCAAATAGCAACTCTTCTTTTAAGTTCACCACTTGTAGCCTTTCATAACCCCTGGTCACTAAATTCCTTAATGCTTGTGTGCTAGAATAAAAAATATAATTGTCTGTAGTTTATACTTTATAATTTTCTCTTGTATTTTCTTTCTTTTTTATGTAAATTGATTAAAAAGAAAAAAAAATAGAGAAGATATTTTTCTGTGTAAAAAATGAGAAACTATCCTTCTCTGTGCAAGTATGTAAAAACTGCTGGTGAAAGAAAATTAAAAATACAATAACGTTAAAAAGTTTAAACAATAAGCATAAATTCATATCATCAGAACAGAGTCATATTACATATGTAATTTAAGTTCTTTTTATAAATTAAAATGGTCATATCTAAGTCACGCCCTTGATCTTTCTCTAAAGTAGTCATAAAAAGGGGCTAAACTTAATTAAAATTTGTGTCTAAAATTGTTGCCTATTTTTCAAAATCAAATTAAGTATACAGACAACAATTTACATAGGTAAAAGTCTACACGTGCGGGCATCATGCAGGTGAGTGACTTCAATTGAATTAATACAATGGGAATAAGCATTTTACGAATCCAATTAAATCCAATGAATTTTGTTACGTAAATGTATTCTAATAAATGTAACTGTTACATATACTTATATTTATTCATGTAATGTATTGATACTGTTTATTATTTTACTAAATTTATTATTATTTAGTTTTTAAAACGTATGTATAAAATAATATTAGATTACTAGATTAATGTATGACTCTGTGTAGTAGAAAAAAAATTGAAAAAAAAAATACATCAATTAATGATAAAAGTCGATACAAAGACAAAAAGGGACTTTTATGTCGTTAATTTATTATTAAAATTAAATTTATAAATTATTTTTACTGATTATTCTGTTTGAAAGATACGTCACGCATATCTCCTATTGGGGTAGGTAGAAACAAATGAAACATCTAAACTACTTTAAATTAGTAGCATCAATACAATTATTATTGTCATAACAGAATAAATATTATGTAATATATTAAAATAGTAAATAAAAAAATATTTTAATTTCCAATATCAACACAACGGGTCGACAATGTGTGTCTGGCATCCTTGGTGTTACAAATGACCATTGATTATGGTAACCATTTACCATCAGACTAGCAGTACGCCTGTTTACCACTATAGTAGTATAAAAAAATGTCAAATATGATATTTAAATGATATCATTCACCATTATAGCATTCTATTAAATCTATTGGTAGAAGTGGATATACTCGTAAGAGGAAAGTAATATTGTATTATAATATTTGATTACAAGTATTTCGTTTAATTCCGCTACAATTAGTATGAGTGTGACTGCCAACACTCGAAGATGAACGCCATTGTCATTGTCGCCAGTGACTGTCGTTTCGTTTATGCACGTTTCTGGTAAATATACTTACAGTTTATTTCTAGTTTTCTATCTCTTGTATTGATATAGTATGATATATTAGTTAATCTTTCAGTCACTTTTTGATTTATAGCCACGAAATAGTAACGACAATATGAAATGGATTGATGATGAATTAAAAATACAATATTCTTATTGATATTTATATAAAAATACTTGTACTCTTTCATAATAAAGCATGGAAGCCTGTGAAGATCTCAGAAAGTTTCTGTGCTTCTGCGTGGTGATGGTTTGACTGTACTAGCTACGACTCTACGCATAAAGGCCTAAATGAGAGGTTAATCAATGGAAAAGAGAGTCCAATTTATATTACATTACATCACAATAAAGCGTGCATCTTTATTGTAAAAACGTACAAGTGCTTTTTTTTAATAATAATGTGTCCACAAAGTTTCATCAAGTGCCAATTATTAATATATAATATTCTTACTTCGCTACTAATTGGAGAAAAACTCACCTGCGAGCTATGAATGGGACGAAATTTCTCAAATTACTAGTTTTTGCTTGCGTATAACATTCATTTTCGGCAGCTTGAACACCTACAATATTGCCATTTGTGGAAATGTGTCCTGTATATGGCCTATTCAGTGCTGCAATACGGATCTGAAATGATCAATTGTGTTTTTATAATAACAAGAAATAAAAGCGGATCGGAATTTAATGCGAATGTTCAAAAATAACCAATACTTATTTACAAAACTCCATTATAATCGGTGAATAAACAACTTGAAACAGAATTTTTGTATATAAAGATAGTCTAGCAAAACACTAGCAATTTTCTTTGTCTTTATCCACTTTCCATCAGGTGGATTATCAGCTCATTTGCCTCCCATCTTAATACACTTTTGCTTGCTACTTTGTACACGTGATTTCTTGATAATGTTAAACCAGATTTTAAGTTAGACCTTCAAGAACACAATTATGAACCATATTTAATTTGGTGCAGTAGTTTCTGCGTGACATCGGAACAAACACACAAGACAAAATTTTTTTAAATTATTGTTTTGACATCTATTGGTCTTATAAGTCCCTTCGTATTATTTTCAGTTCAGAAATCATGAAAAATAAAGTTACTAAACGTTGATTTCTTTTCTTAAACTAATATATCTTAAGATTTCCAAATGTGGGGTTGGTGTTAATTTTTTTTTACAAATTTAGAAAAGTACACTTGTAAAGTTAATATAGTTAGGGGTGTGAAACTAATTTGGTATATCATGCCATTTGAATATAAATTAATATATATTGCTCCACTCTTTCACTTCACATCGAAGGGTGATTATCACCTTTGACAATCTTCGTAGTGGCAAGGTTATTTAGCTTAAATGAACTTTTTTAAATTGACAGAGATCAAGTGTTATGGCGTTATGAATTACGCCCTAAGTTTTTTTATGATAATGACACATTTCTTATAATTACCTATTTATCTTTATAAAAACATACTTACACAATTTCCATTTCTCACACAGTTTGTAATCGTTCTGGCTGGATGCTTTTGAATCTCTTCCCTTGGGGGCCTTGCGAACGATGCGGGGTGTGGCGTGGGTGTCTCAGTTTGTGGTTCTCTCATATTGGAATCCATCTGCAAAATCCTCACTCATATTATAAAACTGAATGTAAGTTTGTTCGTTAATTTCTTAGGTTATCTCTTAATGTTGGAACGATTTAACTTTAAAAATTATGAAATTTGGAATACACGTAAACTTTGGTATAAAATAGGACATAGACCAGTGTTTAGTTTAATCGGTACAAAAGATATCGCAAGCATACAGCTAGTCTATTGACTAGATGTATGCTTGCAGATATGCTGATTTCTTTACATGTTACATATATTTTGTTTTCATATAAAATAATGAAACAAACGAGGAAAAGAAAAATTCATTAATGACAATAAAAAAAATACTGAATTAATATTGTTTTCGGTATTAAAAACCAGGTATGTACATAATATAGTTTCATATTAATTATTCATATTATTATTAAAGGTATTTATTTATTTAACTTTTTATTGCATAATATTTTATTGCATAAACAATGACAATTATTTTTTTTTAAATGAAATACATGTATGTATGTACTTGTATTACATCTGTATTACAGATGTAAGTACAGATCAAAGGTAAAAAGGCGGTCTTTAAAGGAAAACAGATAGAAGTGAATCATCATCATCATCATATCAGCCTGAACATAAGCCTAAGTGGGTTTTTCCAGTAGTTACCACGCTTGGCAGGCAGATTGGCAACCACAGTTAGGCTTTGGAGATGTTTTAAGAGGAACGATGCTGCCCATCCCTCACCATTCCTTAGTCGCCTCTTACGAAGGGGAAGGATAGGAAACCGCTTCCTTTCTCCCACGAGAAAGGTAGGGGTAATCTATTTTATGCCGGGACCACACGGAATATGCATAAAATTCAGAACTATTATTATTTACCATAATCCGTTGCCATCCATTTTCGACCCTCAGCAGTAGTACTTTTTCTTGTATGACGTAAGCTATTGTCCCCAATTTCATACTGGATGTTTTCTATATAAAAAAAAATACTTCATTTTATATACTTTTACATTCTACTAATAAATTATGGATAAAAAAATTGTAAAGAAGTAAAAACAGTGAGTTTTTTACTAATATTATGTTAAAGTGAGTTTATTTGTTTGTACCTTATAGCGTGTTAATAACTTAACCAGTTATTATAAAATTTAGTATACATATACTCTGACGTACTATATGGAATGGATATAGATATAGGTTACTTTTAATCCTAGATAAATAATATACCTCAGTTACATCTAGGAAGTTACAGGTAAAACCTAGTAATTTTATATTTAGTTAGAGCTCTTTGGAGAAACAACAATTTATATGAATTTTAATTATTAATTATTTAAAGACATATTGCCTTATAATTATAAAATACAGAATCTACCTAACTACGTTTAAATTATCACTAATATATTAAAATGTATTTGCCAATATAAAAAATCAAAAGAAACTCTCCTAATAAAAACACAATGAACTTAAACAAAGACTATAAAATATTCCAGTCTATTATTTTTCAATACACATTTTTATATAAGCCCTATATTCGACAGCAAATAAGTGAAAATAAATAACATATAAGCTGCTGCAATAGCTGAACAAATAATGTGCATTCTTAAAATAAGTAATATTTTTTATTTGTTTCTTATTCATACTTACTCTGTAGAGGGTCGTTATAGTTCTAAAAACAACGGTGGTGGTCGTGTAAAAGTCGTCATCGTTTAGATATTCCGTCTGGCTGACTGAAAAATGAAACACATAAAACTAAGAACTATTCTTTTACTTTCAAATAGAGGGTGGAGTGAAATATTACTTGAATTTTTAACAAGTAAAATTGCATTCAAAGAAATTAAAAAGCTGCTAGCTTGCAGAAAATCGTAACAACTTTTTTTTTTGTTTATCTAAAGGCTTTAACGTAATTTAATGGACTTAATGAATACATTAATGTTATTTAATGAACTCTTTATAAAATGAACTTAAAATTAATTTATCTATTCAAGAAAATTACTGTTATTTTTAAAGAGAAGAAATAGTTATGGTAAAACTAATATGAAAAATAGATTTCATATAATAATATTATTTTTCCAATAAATTTTATTAGATAAATAAAATTATTTGGATAAATAATATCATTGCCACTTTCATTATCATTTTAACCGTTAATTAATTATCCACTGTTGAACACAGATCTTTTCCAGACGAATTTGGCCTGAACCATCCGGTTCAGGACAAATTCGTCTGGAAAAGTATCCACTAACTGCTTGCAATGTATTCGAAGTTGTCGCTCCATCTATTAGGTGGTTGTCCTACACTGTATTTGTCTATACGGGGTGACCACTCGAGAACTTTTCTTCCCTATTAGTTGTTGATTCTTCGAGCTATATGACTAGCCAATTAACATTATATCTCAAACTTATTAATGCAAAATTAGTATTTTTATTTTCATATACCTAAGTATAATGTAATATTTAAATTCACGATTGAGAATTAACGCGATACAATTTCAGGTAAATACCTACATACTTGATTTTCATTGTCGACGTCTACCTGTAACTGTATCGTATTAAGTATCAATCATGAATTTAAACGTATGTAAATAACGTTTAAAATTAACTTTAATGAGACTAACTCACTCAGTGTAGACGGGTTGATTTCAATTGGCGAAACGGTTTCTTCGGCAGTCATTATTCTTCCTGTATTTCCTTTTGGACTATTTGTAGAGGGACCTGGTAAACCTGGTGGGCCTGGTGGTCCTGTTAAGCCTGGTGTCCCTGGAGGTCCTGGGGGTCCAGGTGGACCAGTTATGTGCATAGCAGTAGCATTCGGACAGGTGCACGACCCAGCTGGTCCTTCGGGGCCACGTGGGCCAGGTTCTCCAGGATTTCCGATATCTCCTCGATCCCCTTTTTCACCTTTAATCTGTAGATATAATATCAGAAAATATAGAATATGGAGACTAAAATTAAAAAAAGGGCCAGTAAAAGTTCATCTGACTCCAAATACCATATATATTTTCATATTAGAAGAAGTGGCAACTCTGGATCTTTTACTCGTGGAAACATTATTATAAAGAAACTATGTAAGCATTGAGGCTCTGGACCTATACATATCATTTTATAAAAAAATTGTCTTAGCGTTGAAATCCTATGTACGCAGTTTGATAGAAAAATATTACCTGAACATCTGACTTAGATTTAAGAGTTGAAATATTCTAAAAAAATTTAACAACTTGTCTAAATAGTGTATGTATCTTGAGCACACTATTACGTGGGACCAATTTATAAATACGTATTTTAAAATTATTTTTTTTAATAAGTTTTCTAATAATCATTATATTATCATATCAGCTTTTGAGAGTTCACTGCTAACGATAAGCTTCCTCTTTGGGTAAATTTGCCAGTAGCTGCCATACTCGACAGGCGGATTGGCAACCGCAGTTAAGCTTTGGTGATGTTCTAAGTTTTAAATTTTTTTTTGGTTATATTTTTTTAAGTAACTTAGAATACAAAATAGATAACAACCCTAATGAACTGTCGTAAACGTCATATACAAATATACACAGTGCCATGATATCGCAGAATTTATGCCTATCGTATCCCATCCTTATATGTTGTTATTCTTGACAACGAGGATGTTATTTCTCCATATTATCATCATAGCCGTTAACTTACCATTAGCCGTTAGTCATTACTGAACATAGGCCTCCCCCTTGAAAAATGTTGCCTCTTAAAACATCACCGAAGCCTAACTGCGGTTGTCAAGCCGCTACCTAAGCGTGACAAAACCTCCCTAATGGGGGAGGCCTATGTTTAGCAGTGGACAGTGAATGGTTGATATGAATTATATTTTTATATATTTTCTTATATTTTGTATTTTCAGTTATTATTTTCATTCAAATTCATGATATTTTATATTAAAATATGATAATTATAACTGATTTTCGTTATACATTGCTAACAAAGTGTGAATATGTTTTTATTAAATTTAAAATAAATGTATAAGTGAATGAGTTGCAACTCGAAAAGATACTGTAATGATTAAAATTCTTACCGCGTCTCCTTTAGGCCCAACGTCCCCTTTTGTTCCTTTTGGACCCATAGCGCCGGGGTTGCCTGGCTCTCCTTTATGACCCTGTTTTTAAAAATAATTATATTATAAATTACTTTATTCTGGTTACGACATGACCTATTTTATCAACTTTGTTTTCTTTAGTACAATGTAGAGGCAATATTATATTCATATATTGTATATTAGGCAATATTTTAGGCTATACTAACCACGTTCTACCCAATGGTGAACTGGCGATGGACTTTAAACATAAAAATCGACAAGAATAATATATATGCTGGGCCAGATTAGATAGACAGGAAAAAAAAAATGTATTTTTTATGAATCGCTTAAATATGACTACCCCAGGATTTAAAAATCTGAAAGTAAGTTTTTCGTTGGTTATCTTTTGGTGTTTTAACTGCTCAAATAAACGTAGTTATCATTTAGTGTACGTTTACTTTAGAGGATGGAAAAAGCTGTCTATTATTCCAGAGTATTGATATATCCCAATGACGGGAAAGAAGTTGCAAGTAAAGATTATTATAAGATAAAACACATATTTACCTTCGTTGATTCAGTCGAGGGACCTGGTGGCCCCTGTGGTCCAGTAGATCCTTTCTGCCCGGGCGCTCCTTTAGATCCTTTGTGTCCAGGGGGACCCCTTTTTCCCTGTGGCCCTGTTGCACCTTTAGCCCCAGGATGACCATTCTTACCATCATTTCCTTGTGGCCCTGGACTCCCAGGAAGACCTGGATCACCTTTATCTCCCTAAAATTTAATATGCGTTTGTTAATATATTTATTGGAATAAATATTCAATAATAAACTGAATGAAAATATGAGTATTATAAAAATAACGCTACTTAAATATTAATAACTAATATGAGTTGTTATATTAAATTCATGACAAAAATCATCATCATCATCATTTAGTGGTTAGCTGTTCATTACTGAACATAAGCCTTTCCCATAAGGGGAGCCTTGTCAGTAGTTGCCACGCTTGGCAGATGGGTTGACAACCGCAGTTAGGTTTTTAGAGATGTTTTACGAGGAATGCTGTTGACCTATCTACTATTGAGATCCTTTAGTCGCTTCTTAAGACAGCCATGGAAAAGGAAGGGATGCCCTTTTCTATAACAAAAATTGTAGTTATGCTTCAATAGAACTTAATGGTTATAAAAGATTTCTTGAAATTATCACAGAAACAACAATCTCTAAATAAAATTAGTAATAAGTCGAAGTACATTGTTATTTTTATTTTTAATTTTTACTACTATTGGACATTAACGATCTGTTTTATGGTCGGGTCAATTATTCGTTTCTTTATATTTTCATTAAATGCTATTAAAAATGCTATATACACTCTATATGTTAATTAAGGACGGAATAAATTTATTTAGTACAGTAACAATGTCTTCCGGAATATAAATACATCTGATTCCAACTTCGAACTTGAAGTACATATTTGCATTAAGAGCTGTAATATCAATTGTGGTTTAAACTATGATGCTAAGTTTAAGCTCTTCTTGATCAATTACTTCGTACTATCAATTGTAGTTTAACTGCAATCTAAAGTTTGTACTCTTTCCAAGTTCAAACGTTTAGCTTCGGGCGCTTAAACTATTACGCTGCTTTAAACTTGTCAAATAGCAAACAAGCTGCCTAATATCAGCTAGTTACTCAAAGTGACAATCTTTTTAATACTCATGTACAATATAATATGATAAAGTAAGTAAAAGAGTAGTACTGTAACATTAAAACAACTAGCCTTTGACTGTTTAAACTGTTAAAACTTTTGTTATGTTATTGTGACAAATAAGTTGAACATAGCTGATTTTATATTACAATTTGTTTTATTACTTAATAACAGATAAATACTACTTATTCTATCAAATATTAACATCTCTTAAATTTAGTTCAAAAGAAATTAAATATCCTTATTTTCTATTGGACTATGATTTGGTATACACAAGCTTAATCAAACAATGCATTAATTCAAACTTTCTAAATAAAAAAAAAAATGTTATATCCACCTTTACTCCTGAAAGTCCCGGTTCGCCTTTCAAGTCTATAAATTTTTCTATGATCGCTGCTCCTGTGAAAAATTTTTTTAGGTACTAAACCTTAAAATAATTTTAATATAAATTACGATTAGAAAAAAATTGTGAATTAAAAGTTCATGTAGTCACAAAAATTGAAAACTGAATATTTCAATGTGTGAAGAGAGAAGTATGAAGCAATAGATGATAGTAATAAAGATTGAAAAGGGCATGTTGTGTTGATTTGCTTATTTGGGGGAAATAGATAAAATAAGAAGTACGAAGAAGTTTATCGAGCAGAACATATGAAAGTAGCAATCGTAGATGGACGTATGTCGGCTGAACAAGTGATGTACTAAAAAAGATCCAAGCTAAATGTACTCGTAGCCAGCGAGTTTAAATGAATGGACTGATGAATATAGAAGCAGCAAAAGAGATCTGTTTTCATTTGGAATTCTATTATTTCTGCCTACCCCAATGGAAGATAGGCGTAATGCAGTTTTGGTGGCCTTCATAATACGTTGTTATGTAAAACGAGTTCCTGTATTTGATTGTATATCGAGACAATTTGGGAAATGGTGATTTTTAAATTGACGCATGTTTAATAGTGAATGGTTTTAAATGCTACATACATGGTGTTTCATAACAACACATAACAAGATCAAGCAATTCCAATATATATTAATAACCACAGTATATATATAATCTTTTCGTGTAAGATTATATTAAATACTTATTTTGACTTTATTTTGCATAATATTACTTTCTGTTCTCATTTCTGATAGCAGGAATAAAATACTATAATTACAGATTTATTTTTGTACGGACAATTTTTCTTATAATGTAATATCGGTTACCGAACTCAGTTATATAAGTGGAACAAATGATATTTCCGTTTACTTACGACGATACATGTAAAACAAATAAAGGATAAAGAAATAAAGAAATTGATTTAGATAAAAGAATCTCAAATGCGTTTCGTTCGACCGAAAAATGACATAGCCAGATGCGGTATTGTATACCTACACTTATCTGAATCGGAAGAATTTTGTGGCACAATACTCAGTCTATCTCTACCTTCGAGTACAATGTTTGAAAGAGTCAGATATACCTACCCCATGAAGTTCACTAGATATAGGCAATACCGAGTTAGGATAAGGATCAAAGCCAATAGTAGCAAAAAAATGTTAGGGATTCAATCTACTTACGTTATTACTTTCGCGTGACCAGAATGCTTTGTTTGTTATTGAAATTTATTCAGGTTATCTATCTTTTATACTAGGTTATGTATATCTAGATAGAGTGTCTCACTACAAACGCTTTGCCAATAATAATCCAATATTTATATTCTTGTGTGCGTGAATATGAACCCAGATACCAGAATGTATATTTAATAGTTTTACTAAGTGGAAGAAATGTAAGGTCGGGGTTGATTTAATAGCAATATATTATATATAGGTTAAAAGAAAAGAATAGAAAGAGAATCAGGAATTCATTATTCATAATGATGCTTGTCTTCATTGATTAATAGACATCTATGAATAGAATTGATATATGTACTAGTCGTAACAATTATTAAAAGTGGCTGTCATTCTGATTAATATGTTTATAATTTAAATTTATTTACAATACGTACATAATATTTATATTACATGACAAAAAAATATTTATCAATACTGTAGGTTGACATTTTTGATCCTCAATACTCCATCTAGAGGTATAGGATCAAAGCTATTGTAATAGAATGGAAAGGTCTAAATAAGCAGTAAATTGTAAAGGCGCGTGAAGAAATTTGTGCCGATTGAATAAATCCGAGTCTTACTTTCTGAGGGCTCTATTTTGATATCCAATATTGAAGAGAGCTTAGCTGGCATACCAGGGGCTCCGACTTCACCTTTTTCCCCTCTCTCGCCTGAAATAATATTCAATATAAATAAAATAATTTAAAATAAATGAAAACGAAGCAATTAATCATTTTATATATTGTATTTAACAAGAATTTGTGACCGAATTGTCGAATAGGAGAAATACAAATATTTGCATATTTTATAAAATATGTCTCTTGTAATTATATGAAGTAAAATTAAATTATCTTTACAAAATTTGGTTCCACTATATAATGATGTACAATATTTTCAATAATATTTTACTAATAAAAAAAAAACACTCTAATTGTGTACATATATACCACAATAAATGATATTTCGTAGGTTCACTATATTGAAAATATATTAATTTAGAACAATGAATCGTGTATTGAAAATATATAAAGTAGATTATGTTTCAAAACAAGCAGTTTGTTATTCCGCAAAAAACAGCAACCTCGAATGACACAAAATTAATACAAAAATTGATATAATACCTGCGTGACTACCCGGGTTGCTATGCTTAACAAAGTTTATCATATTATGTATTTTGTAGTGCCTATAAATAAACTGTAAAAAATGAATACATTATTTAAAAAAATATATTTAGATTACCTTTTTCACCAGGAGTTCCATGATGTCCAGGGGTACCAGGAATGCCATCGAAGCCTGGTTCACCATTGTCCCCCTTATCTCCCTTTCGACCTTCGGGCCCAGTATGGCCCTGAATAATAAATAATTATATATAACATTGAACACAAATTGTTGCGCTTACTTGAGCTTATTAGAATGTAATATGGCTGGAAAATTAATTAAAGCAAATTGAGTTTATTAAAGGTGGTTACTGCTATCGGTGATTTAATTGGAAATTATAATTGATAACGAAATTTGATGTTACCATTTATATAACATTTATAATGTTCTATATATAATATGTAATGACTTTATTTAAAAAAAATATTATTACCATGTCTCCCTTTTCTCCTTTCGTCCCCGCATCACCTTTTTCACCACGTTCCCCCATTGTACCAGGTGGACCAATCGGTCCCTGTGGTCCAATAGGTCCAGGATCTCCCCTTTCACCAGTTACGTATACTTCTTTTGCTTTTTCTTCAACCTACAAATCATAATATTAAAGATTATAAAATGCTTGAACAATAATTTATTTTAATTCCAAATATTTATTCATTTACCACATTCTACAGTCACCTTACAGGTACCTGGTGCCCCTGGTGGTCCCCTTGAGCCCGGTGATCCTGGTGGGCCTGGCGCACCGTCTCTCCCTGGCGATCCATCACTTCCTTTCAATCCATCATTTCCTGGTGGTCCGAGGTCACCCCTTTCGCCTTTTTCTCCTTTATCCCCTTGTATTCCTTTTTCACCCGGTTCACCATGATGCCCCTAGAGAAAAATTTTCTTAGTATATTGATTATTTTCTTTGAAATATAAAATTTCAAAAGGAAAATTGTTAACATTAAAACACAATTAAATCATTTGTTGAACTGCCATTTGTATTTTTTGTAACAATTTATTTTTAAGTCATTTAATGTCTATGAAAAGCATTTATTTATTTTGGTTATGTGTGTGATATTATTTTAGAAACATATTTATATGCTTTTCTACTATTTTATTTGTAGATAGACTAAACTAACCGGCATACCAATTGCTCCTGGGTCTCCGGTGTCTCCTCTGGGCCCAGTGGATCCAGGCGGTCCCCTCATCTCTGGCATTGTCTTCAGAAGGCTTGAAATCACCGACTCTGAGCACTCACAAGTCTAAAAATGTATATAACAATAATAATTATTATTATAAATTTAAAAGGTAATCTCTGACCTTCATAGCAGCGGTAGGTATATTGCATTACGTAATAAAGTCCCAGATTCGATTCTCGGTGGGGCCAATTTAGAAAAAGAACTTTTTTAAACTGGCTCTTTTCGGGTGTTCAGGGTTGTTCCTCTATATGTTCGTTGTCTCGTTCGTTATAATATAGAGTAGTCTAGTTCAAGTATCAGGCGATTGGTGTGATTGTGTGGCACTTAATATAATATACATATAATCTATATATGTACACATAAGTGATTGCCAGTAACGTGTACTTATTCGTATTAGATTACAAAGTCTATATACAAAAAAGCTATATATACTTGAGGGAGGCAAAAGGACTATTAATAGATTTACCATTCTGTAATGAATATTCCATCACTGGCAAACATATTAAGATAAATTTCCACATTCAATTACTTTTACTAATAATAATAAAGAGTTCTTGTTATCCTTATCTCAAATTACATATCTATTATGCTATGTACATTAATTATAATTAAAAATCGTTAAAAAAATGCAATTGCTGAGATAAGTGATAGATACTTACTCCCCTCTCTCCCCTTGGTCCAGGTGGTCCTTGAGGACCTCTTGGTCCCATAGGACCTTCCGATCCTGATGGTCCTGCTACTGAATCCCCAGGCTCACCCTGTGTGTTAATTACATTAAACATTAATAAAATATTTTTGTTGCCTATAATATGCGTTCCTTTTTAGGACTCGGGAGTCTCTGGATTGTCATATATTCATGAGAAAAATTATGGGAGTGAAAGGAGAAATAATGCATATAAAAGGGAGATTATTAACAGTAAGAAACTGAAAAATTAACTCATTTAAAATTATCAATTGTCCTTATTCTAGATTATTTTTTATTAGTTGGCACACGATTGCCAAAACTCGGTTCTATATTAAATTCAAATTCAAATTCAAATTCAAAAATCATTTATTCATGTAGGACATTTTAGCCGCTTATGAACGTCAAATTTTTACATTATAATTTTATATTTTCCCTACCGTCCAGTTCGGTATATAGATCCAATTGAGAAGAACTGGCAAGAAACTCAATTGAATTACTTTTTTTTTTTTTTTTTTTAAAGCCAGTTTATTTACAATGTATATTTATATAGGTGTCTATGTCTAACATTAAATGAAAATTCAGTGCATGAACAACTATTGCCATGCACACTCGTCATTCAAGTAATCGTTTAGTGAGTAATAGGCTTTGCTCAGTAAATATGATTTAACAGATGTTTTGAATTTATTTAAGGGTAATTCCAACATATCCTTTGGTATCTTATTGTAAATTTTTATACCTATTCCCATAAAAGACCTATTAACTTTTTCTAAACGATACTTGGGGACAGCAAGTTTGTCTTTAAATCTAGTATTAATATTATGAATATTGCTGTTTTTTGGAAATAAGTCAAGATTTTTATGAACATATAGAATATTTGAATATATAAATTGAGAAGCAACGGTGAGAATATTTGCCTCTTTGAATTTCTCTCTTAATGAGTCACGACTCTTCATACAGTAGATCGCTCGAACGGCACGTTTTTGTAATATGAATATATTCTTAATATCTGCCGCTTTTCCCCATAGTAATATTCCATAAGAGAGTAAACTATGAAAATAACTAAAATAGACTAATCTAGCAGTATCAGTATCAGTGTACTGTCTAACTTTACGCACGGCAAAAGCTGCTGAACTTAGTTTCGCTGCAAGGCTTTGAATTTGTGCACCCCATTGTGTTTTATTATCTAGTGTGATTCCTAGAAAGACAGTAGATTCTATAAATTCGAGAGATTCGTCATTTAATTTAATATTGCAATTAGTATTAAAAATTTTAGATAGAGAGAAATTAACACATTTTGCTTTTTTAGCGTTTAACATAAGATTGTTAGTTGTAAACCAGTGCAGGAGACGCCGCAAAGCACTATTTACATCGTCATAATTATTAGTCATTCTATTAACTTTAAAAATCAATGAAGTATCGTCTGCAAACAATACTATGCCGCATCTATCCTGCATGGCATATGGGAGATCATTAATGTAAACTAGGAATAAAAATGGACCGAGAATAGATCCTTGAGGTACACCCATTTGCACAAGTGACCCGTCAGACGTAGCGTTGCTAATCTTCACTTTCTGTATTCTATCAGATAGATAAGATTTTATTAAATTTAAAGCATTGTCTTTGACGCCATAAAAAGCAAGTTTTTTTAGCAATGTATTATGATCAACGCAATCAAAAGCCTTAGAAAGGTCACAAAAAACACCTATCACATCCATTTTAGTTTCCCATGCAGCAAATACGTGTCTAAGCAACTCTGCACCTGCGTCTGTAGTTGAACGACCTTTGGAAAAACCGAATTGACTATTGTGGATTAAATTATTTAAATTGAAATAACTGACAAGTTGCATAAGGATTATTTTTTCAAAAATTTTACTGAGTGCTGGGAGTATGGATATAGGTCTATAATTTATTGGGTCACTCCTATCTCCAGATTTAAAAAGCGGTATGATTTTACTAATTTTCATTATGTTAGGAAATTTACCTTTATCTATACATTTATTGAAAATAAAAGCAAGAGAGGGCGCAATAATTTCCATTATACTATCCAGTATTTTAACAGATATACCCCATAGATCCTCTGTTTTTTTATTATTAAGTTGTTTGAATATTTTCATTATTTCTACTGATGATGTATGTCTAAAGTTAAATACAGCCGATGACTTGCTAACATTGTCTGTTAGTAAAGTTTCAGCAGCAGACGGGGAAGATTTTAGAGCCTGTGTCGTAATTAATGGAATATTAGTAAAATAAGATTCGAATGTATGCGCGACCTCTGTGTCGGAATTTACCAATTTGTTATTAATATTTAAAGCTATTTTGCTGTTTTGAAAATTAACTTTTCCATTTTCGCTATTTATTACTTTCCAAGTGGCTTTTATTTTATCTTTAGATTTAGTTATTATTTTACCTAAATAGAGAGACTTAGCTGTATGACAAACCTTTTTAAATATTTTCGAATAAGATTTTACATGTTCATGAAATAAGGGATCGGATATATAGCTTCGTTTTTCGTAAAGTTCGTAAAGATTAGCCCTAGACTTATAAATACCAAACGTGGCCCAGTCACAAAACTTTGATTTTACACTAGTTGAAAATGTTTTTGTTTTAAATTCACTGCTAGCTTCATGTTCAATTAAATTAAAAATATGTTCACATACAATGTCCGGGTCATATTGAGGTACTATGACACTAGATATTTTATGTTCAATTTTATTTTTAAAACGTGCCAAATTCTTTTGTGTTATTTGTCTGCATGTAATTGTTTGAGTCCCTTTGGATCCCTTAGTTTCAATTATAACTTTTTGTCCGTAATGATCAGATCCAAGACAGTCGAAATTCATTTTCACCTTTACTTCACAATTACAAAAAACATTATCTATACAAGTGGCAGAATTTCCTGCGACCCTAGTGGGTTCTAAAAAAAGATTGTGCAAATTAAATGATTTAAATAAGTTAATCAATCTTAAGCTTATTGAGCATTCCGATAATAAATCAACATTAAAATCGCCACATACAAATAATGTTTTATTCCTCCGTGCGACTCGTCTCAATGCTTCCTCCATAGCCAGTTCAAAAGAATCAAAACAAGCCGATGGCGGACGATAAACGCAAATTATTATACAAGTAACTAATTCTACGCAAGATAGTTCAATTGTTTGTTCAATAGAAATATTTACAATGTCTTGACGGTTTTTATATTCTACATCATTTTTTAAAATAATAATTGACCCGCCATGAATGGCATTGTTCCTAGCAAAAAAACTAGCTATATTATAATGTTCAAAAGGACAAATTATTTCATATTGTTTAAGCCAATGTTCTGTCAGACATAACACCCGTACATTGTTAGATTCTAAGAAAAGACTTAATTCTAATTCTTTGCTGGAGAAGCCACGAATATTTTGATGAATAATGACCATATCCTGTGGCTTAACCAATGTCGTAGATGTTAGTTTAAATTAACACATGTCACATTATTAGTATAATTACTAATATTACTAATTAAACCCGTTATACTACTTATAATGGGATCATAAATGTTATACGCTAGTAAACTAGCAATAGTCTTTTTTTGTTTTTTAGGAAGATAAAAAATACCTCCCGTCATATAATAATTTGTAACAAATTTGTTACTTTCAAAATAAAATATATCATTACAATGATATGTCATCGAATAAATTAAATTATTTATACTATAAATGAACTTATTCTGTTCATTAGTCAGGGATTGAGAGTAGGGAAATGCGCATAATAATATTTTACCTATACCAAGCTCCACTATATTATATAATGATTGTATTAAATTAGCTATATCAGATTTACGCATATGCAAACAATTCCCTAACGCTATTACTAGGGTCGTGTGAATATCATATTTTTCATTTACTATATTTTTTATAATCTTATATATACCTGATCCCGGAAAACAATTATTTATTACTTGTTGCGAGAGGCAGTTCGATAATAAACTACCTAAATCCTTGCCAAATTCATCTGAATAAACAATTGTTCTCCTGATGGTTTCATGTACAGTGCTGCATTTATTTACTTTTGTACTGTTTCGTGTGGGTAAACATGAAACGTCTGGTTCCGTGACGGATGAGATATCAATGTTCAACTGATTATGGTGGGACGGTTGGATATAGTTATCAGACTCTGGTGAATTACAGTGACATCTATCCGTAAGAGAAACAAACCGCTCCATGTTGTAGTTACCTAATTTTATTAAATTATCCAACTGATCAGAATATTCATGTATTTCATTCTTAGCTGATTCGTATTTCAAAGATAAATTGGACAACGAGTTCTCTAATAGTTTAATTTTTTGTGATAATTCATCTATTTCTAAATCTTTGTTATATATTTTTTCTTTACAATTATTTAATTCTATTGATAAGTCAATTTTTTGCTTCCTAGTAATAATTGATTTTAAACACTTTTTATGACTTTTCACTAAATTTTCTGATTTTCGAATAAATTTATTTAATTTTACATATTTTTTTAACTTCTTATTACTATTAATAGGTACTTTATTAGGACTATAGGAGCTTGGTGTATTTGTCAAATCTATGGTCACAAGGGGCAGAGCAGATGTTTGATCACTAGTAGTATTTAACATTTCTGTATACAGATCCATGGTCTCGTTATAACTACTCAACCGCCTGTGATCCAACAAAGATTTATTTTGTGATTGAACTTCCTCAAGGTGCCGCTCTAGATGAGTGATTTTCTGCAATGCTGACTCATATGTGTCTCTGCACAGATCATATTTATTTACAATTTCTTGAAGTTTTTCTTTTTCGATATGTAGAACTTCAAAGTCTGTACTGATCTTCACTAGGTCATTCTTCAGAGCCACATATTTATCAGACATCAACTTAATTTCAATCTCACTTTCATCTCGTTCCTGTAATAAGGCCTTATTTAATTCATTGGATTTTTTTAACTCTAAGAGTGTCACCTTGAGCTTAGCATCAAGATCACATGCTCTGCGGGACATCATTTTTAATTATTATGTTAAATATCTACGAAACAAGACAACAATGAATATTATTCAATAGAAGAAATACAGTGTTGAAAGTGCGCTATTTCCCTTCAATAAAATAATACAATAAATAATTTAATAATAAATAAATATTGTTAGTAAAAACTTTAAATACCAATACTGTTACAAAAAAAAAAAATAATTAATCTTATATATTACCACTACAGTAAATATGTCTTAATTTGTCATATGATATCTAGCAATGGCTATGGATTACTAATATTGTATTGTTATTTAATAAAATACATAAGTTTAGTTTCGTACAGCTATTTGGAATATATTATCAATATGATAATAAATAAATTTTATGAGCTGTAATTATTGCAATAATATTTTATGTTAGTGGGTAGTTTTTTTTTTTTTTCCTCTCAACAACAACAACCGATCTTCACTATCGAATATTTGACTTTAATATTATTGTTTATTTGTAAATGGATATAGTAATAGTGAAGTGTAATAACTGTATTTAATTATTAAAGGAGTCAATAGAAATCCAAGACTTCTATTGTAAATTACCAATACTTTGACAGTTGGCGGTCCCACAAATTTTGTAACGTAGATTTTTGTCACAAAGAAATCACAGATTTACACACCAACAACAATCGACGTTACTTATGACCAAAACTCACTGATTATATACACTAGTATCGTTATTTCACAAATAATAAATTAAAAACAATAAATAAATAAGAGCCAACTGACAAAGACTGTTATCGGCAGTGTTGCCAGAGAGAGAAAAAAAAAAAAAAAAAAAAATATTTTTCCTGTGAAGTTTAGTTTTTGCAATTATACAATTTATACTCCGGGTATGAATTTACGTCACAATACCTAGTGATCTACTAATCGAAAAATAAAATGCAAAGAAGATGTCTGGCAGTAGAAAAGGGTGGAACAGAGTTACGTATGTAAACTTAAAAAACTGGATTTACTTGTGTTTGTAATCCGAATAATTTCAATTATTATAAAATACTTACTTTTGCACCTTTTTCACCTTTTGCAAAATCTGAAAATAAATAACAAATAATATAATGAATAAATTTAGCAGGTACCTATATAATATGGTGTATGTGGACTTAAAGTTTGGTACATAGATTTAATGGATCATGGTTATAAATTCATCTCTAACCTATTAACGTGCTAGGATCTGCAGTGTCGCCTCGGCTTGGTGGTATCTGAAAATAAAAACAGATATATTATTGAAATATAAAATGAAAATAATATTTCAAAATTATAGTTGGGATTTTTTCTCTTTTTAATTCTAAAGGATTATAAATGTTGTATATAAATTTTGAGTATTTATTTTGAATTATTACGCAATACATTTGACTTTATGATCTATAGATCAGTAGTAGTAGATATTTATATCAATAGGAAGTGATTATATATTATCTAAGCATCTATTATCTAAAGAATAATAATACTGATATTAAAGACAATATACAAATCGTTAGTAGGTATTCTCTGTGGTAAGTCATCACCTCTGAAAGTACCATTTTTCCAAAAAATATAAAGGTCAAAAAACAACAAAAAATTTAATATTCTTAGACAAATTTAATAGCAGAACATGTTGTATTTAGTATGGAAGGCTCAAAATTCTTGTAATACTTACACAAAAGCTTTCATATATGTAATTTTGTTGTCGTCCTGTATAAATGTCCAAACTTTGGATACTACCCTGCAAACCAAAATATTAATATTTTAATATATATATAATAGATAATAATAAAGGACTGAATCTGGTAATTTAATTACAGTACTTAGAATAAAAAACAGGCTAACAGATGTAAATTAGGGCTATATATATATATATATATATATATATATATATATATATATATATATATATATATATATATATATATATATATATATATATATATATATATATATATATATATATATATATATATATATATATATATATATATATGAAATGGAATACTTTATTTATATTTATTTACTTAGTAGTCCCTAGTCTTCTGGAATTCTTACAGGCATGAGTAATATGGATACCAATCCGATATCTATTGATGGTGAAGAAAAGGTCATCACGCATTTCGATATCGCCCATATTGATCGGATTCTGTTCTCGAATATGTTAAAAATCTAAATAAATAATATATCTAAATATATATGTATATATAATGAGGTAGAACGTCAGATTATCTTCTTCTCAATTTCATAAAAAAATCTGTAATTTAGTAGATAAATATATTCTAAAAAGTATGTAAAACTTAACAGATATCGATCTGATTTTGAAGAAATCATATACTGTTTAATGTGTGAAAATGGAATACGAGCAGTAACCGCACCTGTATTATCAGTATATGTTAATGGAAAATGATGGGTGTGGATAAAAGCAGTTTCAATTAGCCCATCATGATGAATTCAACAAGAATTAAACATGTTGGTTTCTAGGGGAAACCATGTGGAGGTCGACCATAAGATTTATTATGTTTATTGCAGAATTTATTTATTATAATTTATTGTTGTTATTATAGTTATTGGATGGTTGTAATATTCAGGTTAATGTAATGATTTTTGTATGTTTATCCCTTATATCAGACACAATGTACATTGTTTTTTTAATAAATGACTAATGACTAATATCATTCAGCAATGGGGCATTACTAACAATTCCTTTCCTCTTGATCTATATATACTACTATACTATATTTATTCATCTTCAATCAAGTTGTATACTTATTTTATAGTCGGTGATATAGTGACAGTAAGGTAAGGCCGGATAAGGCTTAACATTTCCCCTGTGCAACGCTAGACCCATTGTTACCGCACTAGATTAAAAATATCACTGGAGTCACTGCTTTGTGAGGAGATGAAGCGGCATTTTTAATGAAACTGACTTTAGAAAGGTTTACATCGACGTTGTTTTATGAGATTGAATTTTTCTCTATCTAAAGTGTAAAGTTATCACTCTGGCGTATTCCAAATAAAGAAGGTTCACAGTTCTCTTAATTACTTACACGACTACCCAAAAATGGAGTGTAATTATTTTCAGGGTTCATATTTATATGAATGTGAGTTTCTTTATTATACTATAATTTTAAAATTATAAGGTCAGAAGTTTATTTTAATTTGCAGAGCAAATGTATTCGTTTTCGTTCTCAAATCTGAATAGATTTTGATAAACCTTTTTTTTTTAATATAGGGTTCATAGTGTCATTTCATCGTGATATTTCTTACTATGAATATTGTAATTATGAATAAAAACTGTTTCTTATTGCTTCTAAATCTTTAATAATGCGTTAAAAACAAAACCTAAATCGGTTGTGTATAAATAAATATAAAATATCAAAATTTATAGAAAAATATAATTGTTTTTATGGTTAATTTCAATATGGAGAACCGTGTTATTAAATGGAAGATAATAGAATGCCAGTGGTGCAATTAGATTCTATTATTAATCATTCCTTTACCCTCGGAGATCTATGTTGTATATATAAATAAATATAAAATTTTCTAAAATTTATTTGAAAAAGTTTGAATAAAATCGTGACAAAAGTTTGAATAAAAATGGGACTAAGTTAAAAAATATATCGGTTGGTAAAAGAATCACAAAAACCTACATTCATAACTGGTGAAAATATTGCATAACGAACTTATGGTACACCCACAAAAATATTTCATCGAATCGAGAACATTCTTTTTTTTGAATAGTTTAAAAAGAACATAACTGGCATAAAATACATACGCTCTACTAAGGTAAAGGAAATTATATTTACTTTTAATATAGAATATGTCACATACAAACTAACAACTGCAGTAAATGAGATTTATTAGCGACATCGCAGACTGCGGCACAGCAGGTCTAAGTACATTAGCAACAAACTCGCAGTCTGAACTGTTTCACCGCAGTTTGATTTCAAACGGATTCTCTAGTACCTCGCTTTACTTAGGGATGTTGTGAGGCTTTGATGTGAGAAGGGAACTGAGCACGCGAATACGCTTATTTAGTTGCATTAGTGCATTTGTATTACAACAGTTACTTTAACGCTTAGCATTAAAGTATGTTCTCATAATTAAATCCTTACTAATATTGTAAACTATCTTTTAGTACGTTATTTCATACAGGTGATTTTAGAAGTAGGAAAACCATGAAGTAAAACACTTCAAGGTGTATAAACTTAAAATGTACATTTGATTTTAAGACAGATTATTTGGAACACAACTATGAACACCACATCCAATTTGGTGCAGTAATTTTTGCGTGATACCGGAACAAATATACAGACAGACAACATTTCTAAAAAAATATTGGTTTGGCTTCTATTGAATTTATTGATGACCCCTCATTTTGATTTTTCTTGAATACATTTATTCAAGAAAATTCCTTATACAAACATCATTTAGTTATAATTGTATTGTTATTAGTATCATACGAGAGAGTTTATTTCTATATTTGTCACATTAAATAGTTCAATCAACCGTCATGAAATTTGGCGCATAAATAGTATTTAGGATGGATAAGGGCATAGGCTACATGTATCCTGGTCAGGTGGACGAAGTTGCGGTTAAAAATTATTTGATTTATACAATACTGATATTGCATTGTTATTGAGCAATACTAGATAGTAGATACCAGAGGAAGACTTCGTACAAAAGTCGTTCGCTTGGGCATCTCTGTCCCATTTGTGTTTCTACCGTGAAAGAGTTGTATTTGCATGGCTGTGTTTCGGTTTGAAGGGTGGGATATGGTAGTAAATAGGGTACAGAGGAATAATACCTGAACCCTCAGGAATGGTAGCGCATGTGGGGTATCATGGGCGAAACAGTATACTCTGTTATGTACATGTCTATAGGCGACGGTTACCACTTTCCATCAGGTGAGCCGTCAGCTTGTTTGCCATTCTGAGTTATATAAAAAAAAGATAGTAAAAACTTTTTTTAAGGTAAATTCTAAAAACAAGAATCGATATTACCTTTCGTGGTGGATTCACAGAAATATTAGAAACTGTAAATACATGTAAAGACGTTCCGTTTCGCTAGAAGTTTCGATATGCTCTACGACATGTTATATCTGCTTTGACATATCATGTTACTTTTATGAAAAATATTCGGAAATAAACAAAATATTAAAGATTTATTTCAAATGTAACGAAATTGTTTCTTATTTCATGTTGTAAAAGGAAGCAGATCCGAAGCAGCTGCGAAGTTATGACAGAACGGATATTACCTAACCGAACGGCATAGAAGGTACTAAAGTGACGCCCATTCGTCTGTCTGTATATGTATCTTTTAGCTTCCTATGATCTGTGGAGGCAGCACTTAAATTTGTAATAATGTCGTAAGTTGCATTTTTTCATAATTAAATGTTTTATGATTTGGTGCGAATTAAATTTATTCGATCACCGTACAGGTGTACGGATTGACATATCGCCTCCTTTTTCGGTGGTCGTGAATTTATATGTATTTATATTGATTTATTAGGTATATATATATATATATATATATATATATATATATATATATATATAAATATAATATATATATATAAATATAATAACAAAATAATTATATATATAATTATTTTGTGGTTTTAATTTATTATATAGGTTTAATAAAACTCCGGTTTTTTGTATTACTATGAGAGCATCTCCCATACGTTTTTGTAAAAAAAATATAAAAAAAAGAAAACACGATGAATAAGAAATATCAACTTTGATAGAGTTCGAAGTGTTTGCATATTACTTCCGCTCTCCGTTTTCCATACGGAACACCAGTCGAATAAATAGTCGTGATTGGCGCGAACAAAGGAGCTGTTTGTTCTGGCGTGATAATGGAATACTATCGAAATACGTCCCACTCTACAACAATAGGGGCATCATGAATGCATTTGAATTTCATATTTCATTCGCAATTCATAACTTGGCCCGTGTGAAATAAGCCAAATTGAGTTTTATTACAAACGCTTTCATGTTTGGCCGAGTATAAAATTTTTTCATCTCAAAAGAAAAATTGTGAATACACGAAGTGGGGAAGTTTGCACCGAATACACCGCCCACAAAATGAGTACAAAGCGCAACGTACGAAAATCCCATTCAAATTTTGCATTTTTATTGTGCAAAAAAATATATGAGCGGGGCAGGGGAAAATTATACGCGGCGCTGTTTCCACCTCGGAATGTATCTCGAAAGCGCTGGCTAATTTGTAAGTGAGCCTCCTCGACCGTAAATTTCACGCGTGAAGTTGTAAGTAAACTTTTACAAAAAGTACAGTCGTATATTGCGGAGATACTCGTAGATCACCTTGGCTGACGTTTGAATACCTCTCTCAAGTGTTGCCTCACCTACTCATTTCTCCATGTACCGTTTGTAGGATTTTAAGGGTCGCTCCTACGTCCCGTACGATGTTTTTTGTTTAAAATAACTTTTTTCGTCTGTGCAAATGTGCCACTTTTTCATAATTTGCACGCTTTGTTGTGACAACGTTGATATGGAGGAGAAAGTTATGAGTACGCCATATTTTTTGCTTACCTTACAAAATGTCAGTTAAATCTTTTAAAGTAATGTTATTGTGGTTGTATAAGTAAATCGAAATAATCCTTTTTTAGTTTATATCAATTTTACTAATATTTTAAATATGAACGTGAATTTGTTTGTTTGTTATGTCTGAGCGCCTCAATGGCATAACGAATTACTATGATATTTGGTATTT